TTGGTCATTTTTTCTTTTCCTTATTTTCCTATGATGATAATATATCCTCCTCATAATAAAATTTTTCAAACATAAAAATATACAATGTACTAATTACTGATTTTTTATTTTAAAAAACAAAATAAAACTTTTATTTAAAAATAAGTGGCAGTGAGGCTCAATGGTGCCCACCTGTAATCTCAGCCTGGTGCAGTGTAAATGCCTGTAATTTCAGTACTTTGGGAGGCAGAGGCAGGAGTAATGAAAGTTTGAGCCTAATCTGGGCAATGAAGTGACTTAGTGAGACCCTTTCTTGAAATAAATAAACAAACAAACAAATAAATCTAAATGGCTAAGATCATAGCTAGTGCAACCCCTACTCTCTCTCTCAAAAAAAAAGGATAGAGGTAATTTATTAATTAACTGAAAATTACCAATTTTGTGTCCTTATTCCAGGACACAGAAAGTGTAAATGCAGGACAATCAGAACCTCTTCTTCCCAGGAGCTGAGCTCCAACTGTGCATATTACTAAATAATTAGGGAGAGTGGTCCATTCACTCTGACCCTAAGAGCAGAGAAGTGAGCAGGGCCGGCTGAGAGAAATCAAAGCGCGTGTGCACCAGTCCTTGGAGCATTTTAGGGGACCTGATGTCCTCCTTATACTGAGTGCCAGGTACCTGTCAGGAATAAAGAAAGACAAAAGACAATATTCAAGGTCCAGGAGACTGGGAGGAACCCGTTGCTAGTGGACAGGCATGCCCATCTCACAGGTTGGCCCACTGTTATTAGCAAGCAAGGACTGAAGGGGCAGTGAACAGTTCGTGGAATAGCAACTGTGGCAGGCAGGGAAAGTTATGGAAAACAAGCTCTTCTGCATATCAACACGCCTGCGTTCTTTGACACTGTCCTCAGCAGATGCTATCTCGCCTCAGGAGTGCAGTCACGAGCCTTCCCTGCATGGCCAGGAAGCGTGACAGCCTTCCATGTGCTCCTCTGCTTCCCAAGGCCAGGTCTCGTGGGCCTCAAGAACACAAGACCCCATTTGTGTAGCCTTGTCCCCAGCATAGTAAGAGTTTTCATGTCCCCTGGTCCCTAACAGTTCCCCCATTTTGTTTCTGTATCTGCCAAGAGTCGAAACAGTGTGACATGAGGCTGGGTAGCATCTAGGTGTTGTTGGGTTTGCCATCCCCTGTAGAAGCAGACTAGGAACAGAAGAAAAGACACAAATATATTAACATAATCAATCCAGTGTAGAATCCAGAATGGGCCTGGAGGTAATTCTGAGGACTCTGAGGTAACGGATTAAGCCAATCAAAAAGTATCAGGCCTTTTTCTTGAGGCACCCACCACCAGGGTAACTATTGTCACACGTTATGGTCCTTCGGTCGGTGGTTCCCACGTGAGCAAGACCAAGTGGCCCCTACTCAAGGCCTGCCTTGCCATGACCACAATTCCCGAGCCACTGCTGCTGGAGGAGGATCCCGGCAAGCTAAGATCTGTGTCTGTGGACGTGAATGTCAACACTTCGCTGCAAATTAACATGCCCGATGTGCCGAGTGAGAAGGACAAGGTCAGGTTCACGGTGCACACCAAGACCACACTGCCTGCATTTCAGAGTCCTCAGTTTTCTGTTACAAGGCAACATGAGGACTTCATGTGGCCACGTGACACTCACTGAAACAACAGACTACGTGGGGCTTATTATTCCTCCGGCTCCTACGAAGCCAGACTCTGATGGCCCTCAGGAGAAGATGCAGAAGCTGGGGGAGGGAGAGGGGACCATGACGAAGGGAGGAACTTGCAAGATGAAGCAGAAGCTGGAGGTGGAGTATCTCGCTGTCTTTAAGAAGACTGTGTCCTCATGAAGCCTTTCTTCAGCGGCTCTCTTCTCACCCCATTCTCAGTAAAGACTGCAACTTCTATGTTTTCCTAGAATATGATCCGGATCTAAGTGTCAGGAGGAAGAACACCAAAGAGGTGTTTGGTGGGTTTTTCAAGAGTGTGGCGAAGAGCTCTGATGAAGTTTTCTCTTTTCTGGGGTTAAGGAGGTGGACGACTCCTTTGAGCAGAAGAACTTCCTGGTAAACTACTACAACAGGATCAAGGACTCCTGCAGCAAAGCTGAAACAGGATGACCCTTGAGCATAAAAGTGTCGCCGATGACTGCATCCACACAGCAGCCTTCCGGCACAGCCTGGCCTTGAGGAGCCCACCATCATCATTCCTGAGCTATTTGAAAGACTTTGGAAAGTGGAGGGCCATGTCTTGTCAGATGAAGACTTAAAGCTGACGGAGCTGCTCCACTACTACATGCTCAACATCGAGGCTGCCAAGGACCTTCTGTGCAGATGCACCGAAGCCCTCATGGACTATGAGAACTCCAACAAAACCGTGGACAAGGCCATGCTGAAGAGCCGAGACGTGAAAGTGGCCGAGGCACACCAGCAGCGGTGCTGTTAGAAGTTTGAGCAGCTCTTGGAGTCAGCAAAGGAAGAACTGATGAACTTCAGATGGAAGAGAGCGGCAGCATTTAGGAAGACTCTGATGGAGACGTCAGAGCTGGAAATCAAGCACGCCAGAAACCACGTCTCCCTCCTGCAGAGCTGCATCGACTGGTTCAAGAGCACCTGATGACCAGTCTGCTCGCCTCAGAGGAAGACTCGTGAGAAGCCAGTGCCGCTTGCACCTCATCGTCCTTGCTGTAGATGATTAGCTTTGACTTTAGCTTACAATTATGTGAATATTTTGATTTCTAAAAATCTTACAGAAAAAAAAAGTATCAGTAAGTGGCCGGGTTTTGTAGTGCACACCCGTAATCCCAGCACTCGGGAGGCTGAGCAGGAGGATCAATATCCTTGTGAGTTAGAGACCAGCCTGGGCTACAAAGTGAGCTCAAGGCCAGTGAGAGGGGCCAGGGAGATGGCTCAGTGGAATAAGTGCTTCCCTGGCAAGCGCAAGGGCCTGAGTTCAATCCCCAGTTCCGCCAAAATAATAATAATAATAATAATAATAATAATAATAATAAGGCCAGCGAGAATTGCATAGCAAGTCCTTGTCTCAAAAAGACAATAAAAAAGCAAACAAGCAGATAAATATCAGTAAACTCCTTCCAATCTTGGATTTATTCATCAGTGTTATGGATTTGTTAGACATAGACAGCCCTTCCATTCGTAGGGCTTCTAGGTCCACAGTGACATTGCTGTGCACAGCACCCTGTGTGTGCTTTTTACATGCTCCCAAAGATGAGCAAACTGGTTATATGGTATAGGACTCATACAAAATTGGGTAATATTGAAATGACATCGAGGGCCCTGCTGTAACTGCAGACTTTCTCTGATCTCCCATCTGCCTAACAGTGGCGTTTGTTTGTCTGTTTTCTATATTTAGTACAGGGCCTACAGGGTCTCACTACACAGATTGGACTCGTAGTGATTCTCCTGTTTTCAGCTTCCCAAGTGCTGAGATTACAGGTGTGTGCCACCATGCCCACTTTTAATTACTGTCTCAGCGTTCCCCTGGGGTGGGGCTGGCATGGTGCGCCAGGATTGAACTCCACAAACTACATCTGCCTAACAGTGGTTTCTAAGACACTGATCTGTCATTGTGATTTTTATTTTATTTTATTGAGAAAAAAATATCAATGAGACAGTTTCAAAGCTGATTAATAGGACATTTTCAATAATTAATTCCTTGTATATTGTTATCTTCTTAGTGGTTATCCATAGTACAAGAAGCAGACAGGATATCCTGTCCAAATATTATTAGTACAAATCTTTCTTCTCATTGAATTAAGTGAACATAGCTGTATATCTATCCTAACTAATCTGTATATACAAATACAAAATGGTCTTTCCTTTGTATCCCCTTTTTTTGTTTAGTCCTGTCAGAGATGGGTATTCTATTGGCAACTAAATACTATAGGTGCTTGAATTCAGCAAAACAATCCAACACAGTCCAGAAGTCCACAATAGTAGTGGGTTATCTGCAGACGTTATTGAATAGAGCCTTTTACAGCTCAGCATATTAATATGGCTTTACTTTATTTATTTTTTTTAAATATTTATGTGTGTGTGTGTGTGTGTGTGTGTGTGTGTGTGTGGCCAGCTCAGCCCACCAGGGGGCGGGGCTGGCCGGCATGTGGAGCTGGGGGATCGAACCACGGTCCCCGTGCTTTGCTAAGCTTGTTTTTAATAGGTGCTTTAGACCACTGAGCCATCCCACCAGCCCATGGCTTTACTTTATATACCTCGTTTTTATACTTTTCTGCTAGATGGTTAAGACCAAGATAAAGCAAGACCTATATAACAAGAAATGTAACTTCTGTATCTGACAAGGTCAGTCAAGTGCCCTCAGGATTTATCCTGTAACCCTGTACGGCACTTTGTAGATCCTTTGTCAGTGTCAGCCATATAGATGAGTCACAGCCATTGTTTGACCAATTTGCTCTGTGTAAAAGCCTGAGAGAAAGTTTTCTTTCCATGTGACTCTCCTTAGGCACACTATACATCATTGATCGCATTCCTCTGTGGCTCCATAATCTCCTTGATCAGAAAATTTGGGGCACAACTGAGTTACATGATGTCACAGTACAGGTTCTCCTATGTCCTGAGTCTTCACTGACCTGGAAAGGCCAGGGCCAAAATGTTGGCTGACCTTATAGTCCTTCCTTTTCTCCAATTTTTGATCTGCAAACTTAGGTTGTTAATCCTTCAGAAGAGAAGCTTATTATTACCCTGCAACATACGCAGTTCAGTTTACCCTAACTATCTGTCTAAATATCAAACATCTTAGGCATAACATGGAACAGGTATTTTCCATCAAGTATTTTTTTTTTTAAATTTGAATAGCTTTTTTTTTTTTTTTGGTGGAACCTGGGATTGAACTTAGGCCCTTGCGCTTGCCAGGCAAATGCTTATTCCACTGAGCCATCTCCCCGGCCCCTCCATCAAGTATTGATGTATTGAACTTTAAGTCCTTATAGAATATGAAGAAAAAAAATTTTATTTTATTTTTTTTCAGAACACTCCATTTATTGTTCTTCAAACCTAACAAAATTAAGAGCTCTGTATATAGAAGATCTTGACCTTGTAACCACTGCCACATTCACTGAAGTCAGCTTGCTTCTGTTTCTGTAGTCTCTGTGTTTGTTTTCTGAGAAGCCAAGAGGATTGCACGTGCCCGTTTCCTTCGCAGTCTCTCAGCATTTGTGATCATCATAGGATGCAGGGGGAAAAAGCCAGCCAGACCCAGAAGCTTCTCCATAGGCTTAGAGAGGTGGGCCCCACAGCCAATCCAATGCCGGATCCTCTCCAGGTTCAGAGCAACGAGTTTTTCTCCATGGCTGTTCGGGAGTGGATCATAGGAGCCCACCTGCTCCACAAAACGGCCATCCCTGGGACACTTGTTGTGAGCAGCCACAATGCGATAAAAGGGCCGGTTGGTGCAGCCACCCAGGGCAAGCCGGATGGTTAAGTGGCCACCACGGTAAGCCCTACACAGGAAGGTACTAAGCTGGACCATGATGCAGCCGAAGTGCAGATGATCGGATCGTCCCGCTGTTCCCACAGCCCAGGGCCACCGCCTGAGACACAGAAACGCAACACTAAAGGTCAATTCCCAGCTTCTGGGATCCTGGCGACTACGGAAGCCCAAAGGCTCAGTTCCGGAACGAAAAAAAATTTTAAAGAATAGGAATAAACACATATTTTTACACAGAAATTTAGAAATCTAACCATATACAGCATTGTAACAGGACAGTGCTATGCAATTTTTTTCTTTTTCTTGTCTTTTTTTTTCCCATTTATTACCCATTTTAAAAAACCTTTTACTTGTGAGACAGTATGGTAATAATTGGTATGTCATGACAAGAAGTATGTATTTAGAAGACCAGAAGGACATTGTGATTTTGCATCAGCAGAGTGTTGTACTTTGTCCAAGCGTTATCTCCTCTTTTAATTCAGTTGTCCACAGAATGACCACTCTTCACAGAGAGAAAAGCCACATAGCACACAGCAACACTTGAGATGAATAATATCTTTTTTTTTTTTATGTATTTGGTACAGGGTCTCACCAAGCAGCTCAGACTCATCGTGATCCTCCTGTTTTCAGACTCCCCAAATGCTGGGATTGCAGACACGCACCACCAGGCCCGGTCTCAGGAGGGCTCAGTGCACCTGGGGGCAGGGCCTGTGCCGCATGTGGTGCCCGGGATCAAATTCCAGTCCCTGAGCTTGCCTAAGCGGGCACTTAGTCCACTGAGCTATCTCACTGGCCCAAGATGAACAATATCAAAGAGACATTTCCAGCAATTTGTTAGGTTTCTCAGTGCAGCAGAGGCAGAAGAAGAAAGAGAAGCCTTCACGGAGGACACGGAGAGGACCGCAGGGAAATGGCAGGGATCCTCTGGCCTGAGACAGAGGAAGCTGGCATTATGTGCATTTTTGGTGGGGGTGGAGCTTGAAGGAGGCTCAGTGACACAGAAGGAGCTGACTGGGGTCTTTTCTTCTTGCACAAGGAAGGATAAGAAGATGTTGGATTCAGGGCTGAGGGGAGAAAACAGGTTAAGTGGTCACTGGGAAGATAAGATGCTGTTTGGGGGCTTCCGCCATGTTAGACCCCCACCATAACTGTCCAGCAATTCATACTCAGGCTAGAACCTGTCACTTTTTGATCTATGTATAACTTAATTAGAGATTGTAACAAATGAATATCAGGAGAGCTGGACCACAGTTCCATAAGATTCACAGGCATCCAGATCCCAGGCCCACACCCCAAGACTAGTGAGGTCTTATTTACTAAGGTGTTAGTTGATACACAGTGGCTTGCTGTACATACTCTACATGTAAATGAGGTCAGATTCCATTCAACAGCCCCATATAATAAAATGTAAGGATCATATGCACATATGGAAAACTGTGTGGTTTTACCTCCCCAAATTTGGATTCTAGATGTGTTTGCTACAAATTTGGTGAAATGCCCTTTCCATTGTTGACCTATATAACAGGGAAGGGCTAATTTCCAAAAGGGTTGTTGAAGGGGCCCAGGCTTCCCACTAATGACGGCCAGCGGCAACGGGGAGCTGAAGCCCAACCCATGCTCTGCGACCTGCCTCTCAGCATCAGCATATAGGGAGGCATTTCTCCATAGTAATTAGTACCCTAATGCCAATGGGCTGGGTGCCAGGCTGAGTGATGCTTGTCTTTTCCTTCAAATCTCCCATGAGGGCCCCAATCTATGAACTCAAATTGATTTAGGTACATTTTTCACTCTCTGTGTCCTATGCAGGAGGTCCATGGTGGTGGAGGTGGTGGGGAATCCTATGTGTCTCCCCAAGATGTGTGGTATGCACATGGAGAAACATCAAGTGTGCAGGAGTTAGTCCACTCCTTTGACATGTTAATATTCCCCAAAATATTAATTGTTCTTTATAATGGGCCATCCAAACCTGCAGATAAGCAAGCAGGCAATAATTAGATTGTAAGTGATAGGTTCCTGCCCGAGTACAAACTGCTAAATTATCATGACCCTGATTCAGCATGGCTGAATCCCAAAAACCACAGTTTATCTTCCCAATGACCACTTCCTCCTTCTTCCCCATCACAGTCCTGGATGCCTTTCCCATGCACACAAGGGAGACCCCAATCAGCATCTTGTGCGTCACTGAACCTGCCCCTCAAGCTCCATCTCTACCGAAAGTCCAGAAAATCTCAGCCTTCCTCTCAGGTCAAAGGATCCCCCCATCTCCCTGCCACGGATCCTCTCAGTGTTCTCCTCAATGGCAATAAAGGTCTTTCCCTTTCTTTTACTTCTGCTTATGGATTGAGTCTTACGCTCAATCTATAAGGGTGGATATAAAAAGTACAATATATAATTTAGAGTAATATTAGAATCTATGATTCCAGGGATCAGAGATATAGCTCAGAAAGCACAGAACCAGCCTGGCAATTGTGAGGTTGTGAGTTCAATTCCTGGTACAAGAAAAAACAAACAACTATGACTCCAGGAGCCATAAAGGGTCCTGAAACCCAATTTAATTGATCATGATAAATCTCAGGGGGAAAGTCAGCCTTAGGGACAAATGCTCCAGTATTGCTTTCTTTCTTTCTTTCTTTCTTTTTTTTTTTTTTTTACCCACCTCCCTCATTTCATATTCATGAAGGGCACTTCGGTGTAATCCCTAAACTGACCACAGTTTATGTCCCACTTAACCTGATCTATTCATACCACTTGTCTCAGTGACTTTAAACTCGTTGCTGGGACAAAATACCCGACCCCTCAAATTAAGGAAGGTAAGGTTTTTTTAAATTTTATTTATTTACTTATTTATTTTGTATTTTAGGGAAGGAAGGGTCTACAAGGTATTCAGGGTCTTACTACTAAATCAGACTGGTAGTGATCTGCCTATTTACAGCCTCCCAAGAGCTGGGATTACAGGCGCGCGCCACCACGCCCAGTCTCAACTGCTGTTTTATCATCCCCCCGGGGGTGGGGCCAGCACAGCAGGATTGAACCCCTGGCCCCTGCGCCAGTTTGCAGGTGCTTTAATCCGCTGAGCCATTTGGCCGGCCCTAGGAAAGGTTTCTTTAGCAACAGTTACTGGAGGTTTTAGTATATACTTGGCTGGCTCCAGGGCTGGCTCCAGGGCTGGCTCCAGGGCTGGCTCCCTGGCAGCGAACAACAGAGAGCAAAGGAAGTAGAAGCAGTTGGGGAGTCTGGTAAGCCTCTCTCCTTTCCTTCCATGCTATGCTGACTGCGAAGACCGGAGCTCCAACCGCAAAGATGGGAGCCCCTCCTAAGCATTGCTGCTGTGAATTGGCACCATGAAGAGTGGAATTCCTCCAAGGAAGTAGAGATCTCCAGTATTCCTTTCCAGACACCGGGCTTATACATTTCAGGCAATGGTGGCCATCACAGCAATGAACATATTTTATGGCATATGCAGGAGGCCTTGTCTTGTCATGAACTTTTCAGCTTCCTGGGTCATTTTCTGCACTTGCCCCCATTAGTGGCCTTGCTATTTGCATAGTTATCAGTGACTGAGATGTCTTCTCCAGCGTCATCCTAGAAAAGCCTCACACTGGTGGGCCTGGTGGCAGCTGGCTCCACCAAGTGTTTGAGGATCCCCCCCCTCCATGGCCACATGTTCCAAGATGCCACCCACAGCAGTGTTTCCATTTTCTGTCAATATACAACCATCTCCTCATCCCCATGTTATTAGCTGCACTGGGCCATCCCACTTTCCTATTTGAATATCTTTCCATATGACTTGTGCCTTAAGGCGTGCTCATTGATTTGTGCTTCATTTGCCAATGAAGTTTTTTTGTGGGTTTTTGTTTTATTTTGTTTTGGTTTTTGTTTTGTGTGTGTGTGTGTGTGTGTGTGTGTGTGTAACTGGGGATTGAACTCAGGCCCTTGTGCTTGCCAGGCAAGCACTTATTCTACTGAGTCATCTCCCCAGCCCTGACCATGAAGTTTTGATGGAGTGTTTTTACTTCTTGTGGGCAGGTTTAAAAACTTTAAGGTAAAGGTAGCAGGATCTAACTGTGCCTATGGAGGTAACCATACTCCCCCTTTTATGTCTGTAACTGTATTTTTAAAGGAAGATGTGTACATTTTATCATGGCTTGGTCCTGAAAATTATAAACGATGTTATGAATTCTTTTTCATGAAATATTTATGTCAAAGTTAAAAGAAGACAAGGCCTTGTTGGCATATGAGGGTCTGTCTTAGTTACTTTTCACTTATTGCTGGGACAAAATACCCAACACCCAAGAAAGGAAAGGTTTATTTAGCTCACAGTTAGTGGAGGTTTCAGTTCGTATTCCACTGGCTCCAAGGCAGACTGGCGCATGGCAGAGGGCAGCAGATCGTGGTGGCAGGAAAACAGCAAAGAGCAAAGGGAGAAGCAGCAGCTGTGGAGTCTTCCATGCTAAGTGTGAAGATCGAAGCTCCTCCAAGCAAGTGGTGTGCAGAATCCTTCCTCAACCTCTTTATATACCCTGAGTCACTCTAGGGCAGGGACCTCCATGCCCCAGAGAGGGACCTCCATGCCCTAAGGAGTGGAGTCTGCTGAACTGATTCAGCCAAGCTTCATACCCCTCAAGTTGACACGAGGTATCAACCACCACAGGTCATTATCATTTTTTATTGTATGAAGGGCTCTCAGAGGGCAAAGGCATATAAGCAATGCTGTTGGATGTGTCCTACCTTTTCACTTCCATAGCAGGTGGCATGAATAATGTAAAAATAAGTATCTATAGAGACATGAACATATTGTAACTATCCAAAGGACAGAGTGTGAGTAGCATCCATTTGCCAAATGTCATTTGGGTGTAGCCCCTGGGAGTTGTACCCTTTAGTGGGCACAGGGAGAGGGATGCATTAACAAGCCGGACATGACAAGACAATTTTTCTAGCTCAGGAGTGAGACAATTGGAATTCTTTTGTTAGAGCTTTGCTGTTGTAATGATGATAGGAATGAAACTGTCTTGTTAAATTAAAGAAGGTAACATAAACTACCAGTAAACTAGTCTGTTAATTGCCATAGGCCATAGGTCCCAGTAAATTACTTTTTCTTTCTTTTCTTTTTCAGTACCGGGGATCAAACTCAGGACCTTGAGCGTGCCAGTCAGGCACTTATGTCACTGAGCTGACTCCCCA